TAAGGAGAAATTAAAAGGACTGTTAGGGGAGAAATGTATGTCCATAATCTGTTTGCCAAAACATAGCTGCCATGTTGGGAAAAAAAAGTGGAAATGGCATCTCACTTAGGCTTAAACACCAGCTGTGTGTCTTTTATCTAAATTCTGGGGAAATCACACATGAACAGAAAAAAAACCCCAAAAATCTTGTCAAGTATCTCATCCTTCACAATGATGTATATTTTCAGTTCTGTAAATGCATGCATCAGCAGCACCCAGTGTCCATCAGCTGCACTGTTAATGTTAAATGCATCCAAAGTTATTTCAACAGGTTTGCAGGATGCAGGGCAGGTACATGTTGGGAGACAAGAATGGGCACCAGCTCAGAATTTGCCATAGGACAAAAAAAAATAGAGATTCGTATGTCCCATCATAGTTCAACCAAATCATGATTTCTCAGAGTGGGGGTCTAGAACCAACATTGTATTAAGTGCTCCCCGGGTGATCGTATGCCTTTATCTTACTCCAATGCATACCTAGAATCTTCCACTTCTCACAAAGCCCCTCTTGTTTCAAACTGTCGTCACCTCTTCCTGGATAATTGCAATGGTCTCCTAACTTGTGTTCTTGGCCTCTCTTACTTAATTCTCAAAACAGCAGCCAGAGTGACCTGACGTAACACAAATCAGATCATGTCACTCTTTCACTCAACACATTCCCAAGGCTGTCTGTCTTGCTCTGAGCACTACCTTAAAGTCCACCCTGGACCTGCGAGAGGCTCTGTGTGCTCTGGTCCCTCCTTACCTCTCCCACAATCCTATTTCCCTCCCCCAGTTTGACTCAGCTAAACCACACTGGCCTTCTTGGTGCTTCTTCCGTTGCTCTCCAATTCAGAGCCTTTGCATTGGCTGTCCCTTCTGCTGGGAGCAGCACTATCCACTAGAACTTTCTGCAGTGATGGAGCTGCCCCACATCTGTGCTGTCCAACAGGGTATCCACATGAGCCTAGCAGCCACCAGATTTGGACAGCATGTGTTTGGTGTCATTTTTCCTCAGCTACGTTACTCATCCCTTTCCTTTGGGGTCTTCAGTGTCTCTGTACCTAAAATTTCAGCACTCCCTTCTCAGCATTTTCTATCCCCTTGTCTGATTTACTTTTCCCTTCTTAGCATTTGCCACTGTCTGCTGTGCTCCGGGTGTCTTAGTTATCTCGTTAGCGCCTCTTGGCCTCAATACCGTGTGAGCTCCATGAAGGCAGGGAATTCTTTTTCTCATTTTGTATTGGGGTTTTGGTGTTTGTTTTCATTCACTGTTGCATTTCCAAGAACCTAGAACAAGGCTTGACCCAGAGCAGGCGGCCCCCAAATATTTGCTAAATGAATGAATAAATGACTATTAATTAGTACTTTATAAAATAGCCATCATGGCATTTGTGCTGGTAGTGACACTTGCTGGGAGTATTGGGGGAAATAATACAATAATTCGGTGCCTCTAAAATGTCCCATGCTTCTGAGTTTTGAAACACCCAAGCCCAAGGAGGAACTGCGATAATTCCAGTCACTAGATGTTTCTGACGCTTTTTAAGCTATTGCACAAGACTATGCAATGAGGGTAAATTTTGCTCTAGCTGGGAATATGGGAATAGCCTCTTTCTTTCTTTCTCCAGCTATTTATTTGTCATTAAAAAATAAATTTCAGACTGGGTCAAAGAAATTTCCATTACTAAAAACAAAGAAACTTTTAAACACAAAGAAAATGACCCCATGATCACTTACTATCTTAAAAAATCAAAATTCCTCCCTCAGCTGCAGCCACCTGGAGGTCTGTTATCTAACAGCATTATGTTCTCTGATGCTGGACTACATAAGAAGGTAGAAATCCAATTCACAAAAGCATAATCCTTGCACAAAAGTGCACAGAATTTTACTATATCTCATAAAAGCTCTGAATAATTTCCCCAAAGCCTGAAATAATATATAAATAAAAATTCCAAAAAAAATTTTTTGGCACAAAGAGTTTTAGCCCTCAGATGGTGCTTTTAAAAGGAACAGAATAAACAACAGGTTTCTACTGTATAGCACAGGGAACTATATTCAATATCTTGGAGTAACTTATAATGAAAAAGAATATGAAAACAAATCTATGTACGTACATGATTGAAACTATATGCTGTACACCAGAGATTGACACAACATTGTAAACTGACTGTATTTCAATTAAAAAATAAAAAAATAAAAGGAATGGGAGAATAGAAGTAACACATTACAAATTTAATCTGACGCTGGAACTTATCTTGCTCAGGAAGTATTAGGGGACAGAGCTTAAATTAAATTTTATTTAACTGACTATTGAACACAGCACCTTTTTTTTTCTGGTTGGTTTTGGGAGAAGGTGCTTAAAAACGTACTGAATGTGCCTGTGATTCTAACAGGATGGGAGGGCAGCCGTATGTCTGCACTTTTAACCACTCCCATCCCACCCCACCCCCACCCAGGAAAAAACAAAGTCTGACAGACATCATCAAGCTATTTCCCCATGATTACCTGCAGGTTAAACACCACCCTCTGAAGCAGATGGTCAATTGCCCGTCTAATAGAAGGAATCGTTACCCTCCCTCTCATCCACTGAATATGCTTTTGATACTCCTGGTGCCAGCAAATTGCTACAGGTTCAAATAATGCCCTGTGTATCACTGAGAAACTGAATGATTGAGACTGTCAGGCAGCCTCTCTTTCCCCATCCTTTTTCTTTGTGCAGGAAAATTATTCTACTTTTATATAATTAACGTTCAAGAACACAGTACAAGGGAATACCATGATGGGATCTTACAAGTCCATCAAAATTAAAATCAGAACAATATGTAAGATAAAGTATTAGCAATAAATGTAGAACTCTCAGAGTTTAAAAAATGTATATTTTCACCACTGGGCGTACTCTAGCATGAACCCAAATCCTTTTCGTTAGCCAGAAAAAAAAAACCCAACGACAACAAATTAACTTGGATTTTTAGTTTAAACTGTCACAAATGCCCATCACAGTTCTATCACAGTGTTATTTTGTGTTGAAACTTATTTGGGGGAAATATGTACTTACTAAAAGTGAAGAATGCTTGTAGGTACAAGGTCATTTATTTCTCATATTGAGGCTTAAATATTCTCAGATTCAACAGGCAGATGTTATGATATGAGAAGAGCATAGAAAAAGAATCTGAATTCAAGTTCAGCTATGCCACTGACAGGCTATGTCATCTTTGGCAAGTTTGAATTTCGATCCCTTCCTCCTCCTACTTTAGATGATTTTAGAGATTAAATGTAAAGTACATGATATATGTGGGACATTAGGGCTGCTAATAACTTGTGGATGTTATTATTATTATTATCATTATTAAATTGTGCAAGCAGTATAATTACAACTGAAACATAGCGAAGAGAATGAATTCATAGAGAAATAAAGAAAAGGATTCAGATCAAAATGGCAACAGCCACTGTATTTACACAACAGAGAAGCCTTTTTTTTTCCTAGTTTCCCATATATTTCTGAATTTTATTTAATTAATTTAATCTCACTGTTAATGGAAACAATTATTTCAGTTTTCATACCAAAGATTCCTCCTATGCCTATCAATATGTTCTACTAGGAAAAGATATTCCAAGTTATACATTGGTTCACATAAAATATGGTAATGCTTTTTAAGCATTTTATATTAGAGAAATATCCAACTTAATTTGCCAGTGTAATTGTCCCCTTAACATTTTTTAAATCTCTGTGACTCTGAAGAAAAACTAGTTTCAACTTATCAATTAACATTTTATAAGGATTATTTGATGAAGAAATGTTCTGAAATTTTTAAAAACTTTTCTTCTTTGAAATGCGAAGTTCCTTTCCACCAAGACTGGACAAACTTCTATCCTGAAAACCACAAGATTTGAATAGAAATTCTGGGCAAACCATTCTTCCTAGTTTCTGTCTCAAATCATAGCAACTTAAACTTTTCACAAAGAGCAACTCTCTTTTCACTGAAACTGTATAGATTCACACAACCTGAAAAAACTTCAGCCAGGGTTTAAGATCACTTCATTTTTTCTAAGTTTAGGAATCAAGCATAATCATTTTTTAGTGGAAAACTTTCCATAGTGTATATATGTATTCTTGAATGCATACTGTCCCATAACATAATGGTTCCAGGAAAACTTCTGTCTTGATTTCTTTTGGCTTTTTTGTGTGTGTGTGTGTCATTTTTCCTTATTCATTTATCCACCCAAACCTTTTTCTCTTTAATCTGGTTTTATTTATTTATTTTTTCCCTCTGTGTAAAATATTACAGTTTCTTCAACTTTGAAAGGGAAAAAAATAGAAGAAATGATGGAAGGGAAAAGGGCAGGAAAAGGAGAAAAAAAAAGAAAAAAAGAAAAAAGAAATCTAGGACAAAAACTTTTGCTAGTTTTTTCTGTTCATGACTAGCCCAGCCTTCAATGGCTGGCCAGCGCAGAGTCACGTGCATACAAGAAAGCCTCAGCACAAAGATTCAGTGAACATTTGCCAGGAGGTGGGAGAAATGACTGCTGTCTTTTACCCATATGGTAAAAAAGACAAACAGGACTTCTTCAAGTGTAAATCTTTTCCAGTTCCACCATAAATACTAGGCGGTGGTCTTCTTTTAAAAGACGCCTCCCCCTGGAAGCATCATTCCTCTCTCTGTGGCTTTCAGCACACAATGAGGGCTGGTTTGGCCAATTTTTCAACCTTTACATCTTTCCAAGACACCACGTCAGCATTCTTACCCGTTTCCCCCAGAAGGTGGCAGCTCCCTAGAAGGGGGTGTATTATTTGTCACCATTCGATGTATCGTATCTTTCCTTGAGAAAGAACTCTAAATGTCCCTAGTCGCCTCGAGTTGTCCACGAACTACAAGGAGCTTTGCAAATACTCCCCCACACAACCCGACCTAAGAGCCCAGGGTAGAGCTTTGTCTGTCACGAATCCCACCGCGACCCGTGGCGGTCACGAAGGCGGGTACTTACCAGCTCTGTCACCGGTGGAAACACAGAGAGGAGCAGGAAGCGGAGCTGGCAGGGTCCGTGACAACCATCACTCCGAGCGGGAGTAGAGAGCCAGCTACGCTGGCTGCTGGGGAGCCCCTTCCCCCGCTGTGTCAACACACAGCCCACGGGGCAGAGGTAATTTTCCCATTTTATGATCTACTGTACTTGGCATCTGTTCTGGCACCGGAGTCTGTGTCTGTTCTGGGGCTCAGTTGTCTGTTCCCAGATTGCCATTTTCCTCTGCCTCGCGCTCTGTTAAATATTCTACAGGAGATTGTCACTTCATTTGACTTCAGTTCTTTCCTCTGACAGTGGTGCGGGGCAGTCTGGACTCAGAGTCACTTCCTCTCTCAAACTCAATCTGTCTAAATGTCAAAAAGAAGAAGGAAAAAAAAAAAAGAAAGTCGGACTTTTAAAAATCCTAGCAATCTGCCATTTCGGAGGAAATATTTGATAGGTGCTGCGTTTCTGAAACTTTCTTTGCTGGAGGCAGGGGCAGGGAGGGGGGACACTTGGGGTTGAAATACTGTTCCTCCCATAGTCGGCTTTTTCAGAAAAGTGATATTTTGTTCTTAAAAGCCTCAGTCACAAAAGCAGAGGCTATGTTGATATAAAGATTTTGTTTGTTTGTTTGTTTGTTTGTTTAGAATAGACAGTACTCCCCACCCTTCCTCACAGATCTGAGCTATCTGGTGACAAACTTGGGCAAATGACTTGGTCTGCAATTTGCGAGCACTCACAAAGCTGAGAAATCTCAGATTTCTTTCTTCTCTTCCTCTCCCCTCCCCTTTCCCTCTTTGTGTTTCCATGCCGAAACACTGTCAAATCTAGTGACATTAAAGGACAAATCGCCTATAATGAAAAAGAATATGAAAAGAAATATATATATAAAGGAATATGCTATGCTGTACACCAAAAATTATTAGCACAACATTGTAAATCGACCATACTTCAATTGAAAAAAAATTTTTTTTTAAATAATAAACATAAGAAAGGACAAATCTCAGAAAAGGCTTTATGGAAGGTTTTGCGACTTGCCTTTTGGAACAAGTATTGGCCTTGAATATTTTCAGGCTGTTTCAGGTCACCCTAATTCAAGATTATCAGGAATAAAATTAGAGATGGCTTGGCTAGGGCAGCAGGGTTCAGGGATAACATCTTACTCCGGGGTGGAGTGTCTGGGATTCGTGAAGTGTTTTACCTGAAAGGACTTCTATGGAGTCACTTTCAGGAACACTCCTGTGCTTGGGAGCAGCGAGATCTACTAATAGTGCTGAATAACTCAAGGCACACAGAAACAGGATGTCTGTTGCACCACAGATTTCATAACTTTTAGAGTCGGAGGAGGGGGATGGGGGAGGGTATAGCTCAGCGTTAGAGCGCATGCTTAGCATGCCCGAGGTCCTGGGTTCAATCCCCAGTACCGCCATTTAAAAAATAAATAAATAAATAAATAAACAAACTGGATTCCCTCCCCACCCTCCAAAAAAGGGAAAAAAGACCTCATAAAATTTTATTTCTAAAAAAGTCAAGGTAGCCTTTTATTCCTTTAGTTTTTGATTAAAAAAAAACAGAGGAGTCAGCATAGTCTGAGAGCAAGAAGGATGTGAAGGAGAGAGGAAGGCAAGAGAAATAATGTTGGTTGAGAGGCCACGACATGCCAGGCACAAGGCTAAGTGTTTAACAGACAATAACCCATTTCACTGTCAGTTCATCTCTGGGAGATGTTTCTCCCTCCTTTTTAACAATGGAGAAACTGAGGCTCAGCCAAAAATAACCCTTTGCCTAAGATTACAACATTCATAAATAGCAGAGCCAGGATTCTCTTTTTCCCCTATTACTCAAGTCCATGCACTTTCCATAGCTCTAAGCTCAGATCTCCAATCTATGTTAACCAGGCTTTTTCTTTTTCTTTTTCTTTTCTTTTTCTTTCTTTAGAGACTTGCCTGCCTTCTGAGACTTGAAGCAGATTGTCAACCTTCAAAATAATTGCCCACTCATCTGGCTAGAATGCATGCAAGGCAAAAGGAAATGTATTCTGGATTAGGAAAATCATCACCAATTTCATTTTCTGTCTTCCAAGCATAAAGACATGTTGGTTAAAAAAAAAGTCTAATAAATATTTTCGATTCATTTTTAATTTGAAAAAATATTGTGAAATATTTTTAAGCTTTTTTGCATGGAAGGACATTATCATTACTATAGTCGCTTACTTCTAAGCACTGAAGAGGAACGAGGCTATGCAAAAGTATCAGCCAAAATTATGTATCAGGTTTCAGGAGACTGCAACCCTAGCTCTGAAATAGAAAACTATTTTTTTCTGCGTTTTTTAAATCAGTTGCCATGAAAATACTCAGAATTACCTGAGTTTAATTTCTGACAAAAATAAACCCGATCTTTAATGTCATCCAGATATGTTTTTAAATCAATAAAATTTCCAAGACAGGATTTCTTATTTTTCAGGTTGGGCAGAATTATGGTAACGAATCCAGGGTCTCTTCCCATCCTTCCAATGTGGGGTTGTTTTCCAGAAGAACTGCCAGTGGTTCAGTTATCTTCTTGGAAGAAGCAGAGTTGTCTGAGACTCTCTGACTCCCCTGCTTCCTTGTGAGTTACTCCTTAACTCGACAGGACTAAGCCTGTTCCCTTAGACTCACATGGCAGAGGCTGGATACTGGAGCCTGCTTTTTGGCTCTTTCGTCCGAACTCTTCCTCTGTTGGCAAGCCTGGACTCCGGGTGGTTCCTCTTTATCAGAGGCACTTTCTGTCTACATGTTCCTGTGTCCATATCTAGGTTAGGAGCAGGGGAGACAGACCGTCATGGCAGAGCTGATTCGCGTATTCCACACACTCTGTGACAATTTTTTGTCTTTTTTTTAAAAAAGCTCCAATAGCAGAGACATTTCATCCAGTCTGGCTGCAACATGGAGGATGAGACAGGGGCAATTTACCCCATGTTACTCTTTCCTTTCACTTTGATGAAAGGTGGTCTCTTTGAATACTCAAGCAGTAACTTTCCAATACCACACCTAAGCATTTTTCTTATTATTAAAAGAAAAAAATGCATGAAGGAATAAAAAGCCCTAGGATTGCTGACAAAATCATTTCAGAAGGCAAATAATAGCTCCAGACCCCAGTCACTATCATATAGTTGGACTGTACAAAGAGAAAAAATATGACTATAGAATGTTGAATTCTTCCTGACAACATGACTCAACATGTTTTGGATATTCTTGGGAACAGACTTGGGTTATAGTCATGGAAACTCGTTGTAGACACACAGACACACATAAAGTTTTAGCCACAACAAACACACATGTATAAATGCTATGTGTGTGTGTGTGTGTGTGTGTGTGTGTGTGTGTGTGTATTGATCTCTATAATGAGCTACTGTTATGGTGAATCTTTTTAGGAAAAGAATAGTGTTTATTTTAACTAAAAAATAGTTCATTTAGGGAATATATATACTCTGCAGTTAAGTGGGGATTATATTTTTCTGAAGTCACTAATAAGAACAATAAAGTTGCTCTATCAAAGCTGTCTTCTTCATCTATATGTCACTCAGTCAAAACGTAGTAGAGACTTGCATTTCTGTTGTACCTTAGGGACTGGCAAACAAACCATAGGGGCAGGACACACCAACATTTCCATTTTAAACCTTTTGCTTTTCCAATTTGCATGTTGAAATGAGAGGGCTCTATGAACAGAAATTTATGTTCCTGGTGTAAGCCTCATTGATATCATTCCAGTGGTATTTTTGTTTTATTTCCACTAATCACTCAGATTTCTCTAGAAAAGCCACGCTGCACTCACTAATAGCCTTGAGCACAGAGCACAAGGAAAGGACCATAGTTTTCTATCAGATTCACAGAGGAGGGTTCCTTTCAAGGAAGAAAGAAGCTTGAAGTCTTTCCCAAGAATATGAAATTCCTGGTGTATCTAGAGTTCAAGTGTCTTGATGATTCTTACATAGGAGAAGAATTTGAAGTAGAGAGAAAGACGTTTTTGATAGTATGTATGCCTATATACTATAGGGAGCTTGACTGAGAAACTAAACAGCCATAATGATCTATGGGAAATTTAGGTATACCTAGGGATTGTAACTGACCTCAACCGTTCCTGAAATCTGGATTAAACCATTTGTAGTTGAAGTCTAATCGAAATTTACTTACCTCACTTATTTGCCAGTATCCACCAGCTGCCACAAACCATGCTGTCTGCTGGGGATACGGGAGTGGAGTCCCTGCTCTTACGAAGTTCACACACTCAGGGAAGAGAAAGCAATTAAACAAAAGATGATTAGAAGAGAAGAGTGATATGAGAGAGATGCTATGAAAGCATTCATTCAGATGGGGTTTAAAGGGGGCGGTCCAAGAACACTTTCTGAATAGCGTGACACTGCCATTGAATGCTCTAGGATGAACGCAGAAGGGCAAGGGGCTTCCAAACATGACCAGGAGGGAAAATCAGAAAACCTCAAGTTATGTATTTGCTACTTGCTGAGGGAAATGTGGGCTCCTAAGCAGTAGACAGGAATCAAGTCTATTCTTGCATACCCCAGTATTTGGAGTTTATCCTCAGTGCTCTGGGGTCTGTTGAAGGATTTTAAATGTGAGAGTAGCAGGGTCAGATGTCTTTCCTTCCTTTGTGATAGGAACACGTCTTGGGATAAAGGTTTGTACGATGGTCCTAATTCCTCATATCCATTGTTCAAAGCAGATTTATCCAAGAGGTGAAGACATACACATGGTTTTTGTGTCGGAAACATTTATTATCAGACAGATAAAGAAAACAATTCTGCTCAGGAAGTACTCACGATGGCTGTGCAGGAATCACGTGGGCTCCACACTCTTTTGCTTAGATTACTCTTCAGCCTCATTGATCATTTATCTTTGACATTTTTTTTTTTTTTTGGCAACAAAGACCAGTTCCGTTTCCTTTGAGTCTTGTGTGACTCAGGACAAATATCTCATCCCTCATGACCCCTAGGTAAAGCCAAAAGCTAAAATAGTTTTTCAGGAAAAATAAACTTCTAATATGAGCTTCTTGTCTAATGAAATGTATCATTTTGTTAGCAGAATGAACATAATGACTCAACTTTATCTGTTTCTTTTCCTGTTTGGGGAAGTGAAGGTGGGACGTATCTGACTTAAAATGGCTTCAGGCAAAGACGTCTCCACTTTTTTGGCCACCCGCCTGCTATTCCTCTAATGCGTCACACACATGTTTCTTTCCTTTATCAGCACCAGTCTAAGCAAGCATTAGTTCCTAACATAAATTCATATTCGAATTTTTTTTCAAGTATACTTCTTTTTATATATCTGCGTGGTGGGCTGTGTTGGGTCTTACAA